TCTTGACTTTTGAAGTGGGACAAGAAGAATTGACACCTCAAAAATGCAAAAGTCAATTATCAAGAAACAAAAAGCTTTAGATGAAAATCAGACAAAAAGGATCGACCCATCACACATCTATAAGTTGATCCTCACAAGCTCCAAACTAAAGCAAAGGTCAATCCCCAGCTACAAAAGTCAACCCTTGAAGTACGAATGATGCGATTTAAGTGGTCCCAATGGATAGAAATTTGGTTCCAACTTACTCAAATAGGTAAAAACCACTAGGCACTATAAATACTTTTATGAAGATGTCACTTAGTAAGAAGAAATAATAAAAAATCATCAGAGCAAAGCTGAGAAAATTAGAAAGTTCATTCCTTCTCTCTTTGTTGCAATTTCCTGAACAGAGCATTCTTTTTGCAACCTTTTTGAAAAATTTTAAACCTTAATGGGTTGTATTGCTTTCTCCTTCCTCATCATCTTTACAAGTTTCAATTCTATTTTTAACTATGTTTTGAAAAATTTTAAAACAACTAAGTCATCCCTTCTTGGTTATACTTTCCTTTAAGCATTTTATCTAACACTTTTGTTGTTCGTTTAGACAATTAATGGTTGCTTGTCGTTATCTCACTTTTTAGTTATTTTGCATATTTTTACTATATCAAAGGCACACTCTTTCATGGATTTGATTTCTCTGTAAACTCTTCTCTAATTTTATTTGAGTATTCTGATGTTGACTAGACAAGTGATCTGATAGATTGTCATTCAACCATTGGTTATTATCCTTTTTGGACAATTTTTTCATTTTTTGGCGAAAGGAAAAAGAAACAATAACTATGTGTTCTAGTTTTGAGTCTGAGTATCATGCTCTTATGGATGCTACTTAAGAGTTACTTTGGCTTAGTCGATTAGTGAAGGATTTGGGCATTGGCCAATCTTTTGCCCTTGTCCTTCACTGTGATAATTGTAATGCTACCCAAATTGCTCACAATGATATGTTTCATGAATGCATCAAGTATATTGAGATTGATTGTCCATATTATGCAGCATGATGTGATTCAAGAAACTCTTCATCTAACCATATGTTCTCTTCAGATCAAACTATTGATATTTTTACCAAAACTCATCTTCCTAGTTAATTTCAAGAGTTAGTTT